GAGATATAATAATAAAATAGGTGGATTAGATATGAGCACAATATTCGACAGCGACAGTGTATGTTAAACCGCACAGTATTATAGTTATATAACTCGTGTATCATACAGTTTCACAGTTATGTCGTTTAAAAATATCGAATATTTAATATCACAAAAAAATAAACCACTCGTAAAATACGATGGGTTTTTGTATCGGAAAGATTGCGAAAACGGCGAAGTTTCATACTGGAGATGTGCGGAAGTTGAAAAATGTCGTGGTCGAATTAATATTAAAAATGATTTGGTTATTAAAGATTCTTCATTCAAACATGTACATGTCCCCAATCCAGCTAAAATCGAAGTCAAACAACTAACTGAAGAAATGAAAAAAAGTGCTTTAACTACTCAACATAATCCAAGTAAAATTATTAGTGATATTGTAAAAACGGCATCATCCAATGTAATTCAAGGGAGTCTCACAAGTGTACCAAATCTTAAAAGAATTATTCAGCGAACTAGGCAATGTAATCAACATTCTCCACCTAATCCACTAACCTTGAAAGATTTAGGAGAAATTCCAGACATTTATAAACAAACAAACAATGGAAGTAAGTTTTTGTTATTTGATAATTATGAAATTAATGGTCCTACAAAAAATAGAATTTTAATATTTTGTACACGTGAGGGATTAGAGTTAATGTCTGAATCTGAACATTGGTTCGCCGACGGTACATTTAAGAGCGCTCCTTCTATATTCACACAAATATACACTATTCACGTATTGATATATAATACTGTAATACCAGTAGTTTTTGCATTATTACCTGATAAAAGTACTTCAACATATTCTTATTTAATCAAAACACTAAAATCGCATATACCATTAAATCCTAAAACTATTATGACTGACTTCGAACAAAGTGCGATATTGGCATTTAAGGAAATTTTTCCCAATATAATTTCTCGTGGCTGTCACTTTCACTTAAGTCAATGTGTATGGCGAAAAATACAATCGATACCCACGATTCACGAAAAATATATAACTGATGCAGAATTTTGTATTCAAATACGATTGTTACCAGCACTTGCTTATGTACCAGTATCTGACGTAATAGCAAGTTTCGAGCACTTATGTGAAAGTGATTATTACATAGAACACGAAGAACTTTTTCGACCACTACTGGACTACTTTGAAGATACTTGGCTTGGAAAGACGGTGCGTAAACGACGTCGAGGTCCAACATTTCCTCTAGAAATGTGGAATTGTTATGACGCGATAGATTTACCAAAGACTAATAATTCAGTCGAAGGTAACTAATTTTTATAAATAAATATATCTAAAATATATTAAGTATATTTTATAGATTTTTTACATATTTTATAGGTTGGAATCGTGGTTTTAATCATTTACTTGGATCGTGTCACCCAACACTTTGGAAACTTATAGAAGGGTTCAAACAAGAACAGACTAACACAGAAATGAAAATAGAGCAATACATAAGAGGACAAAATCCAATAAAAAAAAAGAAAAAATATCAAGATACTGCATTAAGAATTTTAGAAATTCAAAAACAATATACAGAAAGAAATATCTTAAATTATTTGAAAGGCATAGCCTATAATTTATCACTACAAGTATAAATTATAAATATTATATAATATCTTTTATCTTTTAATTTTTATATTTAATTTTTTAATATTTAATTTGATTTACGACTAAACTCTGATGTATTTCTAAACACGTACAATAATGATCATTTTAAAATAATATACTTTAGCTGTTTTGAACATTCGTTATTATGCCTTTTAGCTATTTTATACTTAGCTATTTTGCCGTCGCTATTTTGATATTCGCTTTTTTGGATTCGCGGTATTGACGGTGACTCTTAATTGCGTACCTCTTGCATTTTAACTGTATATACTTCCGTTCTCTATTTTCTAAATCTCTCCTCCTTAACCGATCATCGTAATCAACGAAATATACTTTTTCTTCAAAAACTCCTCTCTGACTCTATTGACTACCCTTTCCTACTTGAACTTATAAATAAAAAAGTACCAATCTAAAACACCTATAATAATTTTGTTTTGTTGTTTCTCACTACTCAATCAATTAGATACTCGAGAAACTAGCCTCTCTACAGGATGATGAGAATCGTTAATCTGTCATTCCTCTTTTAGATAAATTCGTTTAGCTAATGAAAATATATATTTCACTTAATTTTTAGTATGTTTTCATACTACACCTCTGTATATGGACTTTTGTCCGTAATTAATAAAAAAATAAATCAAATTAAATGATACCTTACTCTAAATACCGTAAAACAGTGTAAATAGAATAAAATGAATATGAACTTAATATAATGTCTCAATATTAAACGCCGTAACCTAGCTCTCAAGCTAACCTTGGACTTATATGTAATCTATATCTCTATTTAAAATGTTAACAAAATGTTCAATTTTATCCTTTAGGCAAGTTTACAATAACTTTTTACCTTTTTGATATATATAGGTACATATACGATATAAACAATAGATATGTAATTCAAAATACAAATGCGCTTTTCTAATTTCTAGATATGAACCATGTATTTAAATTCTAAATTAATGTTATATTCATACTGCAAGCCACAACACAATGAGTGGTACGCACCATAAGCAATTGGGTTTAGAAGAAAAAAATGTCTATCGTCTTGAAAAGGTTTTGATACATTCTTAAGGAAATAATTCAAGAATAAGAGTAAAAATAATAAAATTTAAAAAAATATATTTAATAAATAAACATCTCAAGTTAAGACCCCTCATTACAAGGATAATTGGGTTCTGGTTGCATTAGTTGTGCCACTAGGAATATAGGATTAAATTAGTAATTTAAATTTCGGTAAAAAATTAAAAGTAAAAAAAAAAATAGTATTATCATCATCATTATTTATTTAGTAATAAATAGGTACGCGACAAAATAAAATAAAAATTATAGTCTTTATCTGGCCTATATATATATATATATATATAATGAAACAAATTCGAAACTTTCTACTCTGAAATGTAGGTACTTAATATATTTCTTGTAATTTTCTTAAAACCATACAAACATTTCTGCAATAACCATTAATAACTATTGTTTTTTAAGGTGTTAGTGAAAAAAATTAAAAGCACCAAAACTTACAGATATAAATCATGTTCATTTTACATTATAACATTTGTAACCGTGTTTTAAATTTGTCATTCATTAGCATGTTTATTAATATCGGACGACGCAATTTGTTCGTTATTTTCAAACAACGACTCGTTAATGTTTTAAGTATTTATGCAACCGGATAAAATGTCAAGACAACAGAAATCAGTGACAGCATAAAAAAAAACCATTTCACTGATTACTGCCGTCAACTCCATAGACCACCTAATTGGACTAAATCAGAATATGTAATTTTATGTCTGTTGTTTATGACAACCGCAACTCTTCAAACAAGAATAATTAAATAACTTTCCAATAATTACTTCCACCACCATCTCGTCGAAATTGTACGATTTTCTTTTTAAATATAATGAGAAAAACATAAGGTACTTTATAAACCGCATAAAAAAAAAAACAAAACTATTTACTGATAAAGAATGTTATTCTTAAAATACGTTTTGTCACCTCATCATTGGAAACTAAGAACCGAATAACCAATTACAAGTTTAAATGGATTTTATTATTTTCATGAAACATGTTTCACAACAAACATTCTCTCCAACCCACACTAGCATATACTAGTAAGACTACTAAAACTATACTAATAAGAATATCTCTTTAAGATAAAATAATATAAATAACTAATCAGCTAATTGATTAAAATCAATTTAATAATTACATACTACACAATAAAAATTTGTAACCTTTTACGTATATAAGTGCAGTTTTTATCATAACCACAACACACGGATAATTAGGTACTTTTAAGTTAGTAACTACCACTAGTACTCGTATAGTACAATGTTCCCAATTTTATAACGAGATAATTTATTACATATGTACAACTCAAAAAGATGAAGGTAAATATTTTTTATATTAATCCAATTCGTACATTTGCTTCTATATATTATTGTATAATAAAATATAACTTTTCAAAATATAATAATTATAAAATTGATTAAATTTCTTCATTTGTTGCCTTAATAGGTATTTAACATGTAATCCAACAGCACCACAGCCTAAAGGTAAATTATTATTATTTTAATGCTCGATAAATGCCTTGTTCACCAAAATCACATGAGAAAATGTTACAATGTCAAATAAAACTAAAATATTTCAGTTAACTTTTATTATGAAGAATATAATATATTTATATTTTTTTATAACTAAATGAAATGAAACAAAAATAAGCGTATAAAAATAGTAAAATATTTGAATAAAATAACCATGTAGATATAATAGAAATCGCCCATAGGTAAAATACAATAAATATCTCTTGCACATAAGATGAAAATATTGTAAGAAATCGATTAAATCTAAAATTATACAACAGTATTTGTAAAAACACATATTTACAAGAACAATAACTAGTACAATTTTCTCTTAGTAGTGAATATAACACACAAAGTGTACATAGTATAATAAGAAAATTATTGATAATAATGTTTTAACAAGGAGATGATGTCATACTTGGAATACACAAAAAAAAGACATTACATTGACTAAAAGTATGTTTTAAATAAGTACTAAATTAATGTCTAACTCAGCAACATATAAGATTTTAAAGCATAATTTTCAATCTCTTCTTTGATATTTTTACTACTTTTGTTAAGTTATCTAGCATCATTTTATAAAAACAAATGAAAAAAAAAATTAATGAGCGATTTCTTATGTATGATTAAATGTGATGGTAATTATCCCCATATTGACTAAGATAAATAAACTGTTGAAATCATACAATATAATCACACTTAAAATGATCCTTGCATATTTCAAAACCACAAAAAAAAACAATAAAATTATACAAAACAATTATTGGAATGTAGACATAAACATGTTATTTTCTTTCGTGATTTTAATCATTCTTCTTATTTTCAGATTCTTTGTAAGGTGGCGGAAGTTCCTGAAACATAAAAAAATATGATTTACTTCAACTCAAACCAAAAACCAGAACATATTTAGTAACACAAAATTATAACTGATTAATTTACTTTTAATTAGTGGCCTGTCATGATGTTAGTTAAAATTGTAAACAGGACCATATTTAAAATATAATATATTAAATATATCAATTAACATCACATACTTCAATTGAGTGCTCAACTATAACCAACTATAAGTTATAATCAAGTTACAATATATTACATTTAACAAACATAATAAGTATGCATTATTTGTTAATTATAATTAATAATATTAAGTTTAAGTTACTTTTAATTTAAATAAAAAAATAATAAATATAAGTAGAACCATTTTTATTTCATGATAGTTAAAATAATTAATTTATAAGAGCTGATTTTAAGGCTGTAAAAATTTCATTTTATAATTATTAAACAATATTAATCATTTTAACTTATATTATGTTTTTCTTTAAATTCATTCAACATAATATTTTTAATTTTTATTGTTTTTTCAATAACAATAAATTTATGTAACATTAATTTATAACATATGATTGAGTTATAATTTAGTATTTATTATTTTAATAACAAAATTAAGATTAATTTTTTTTTAATGTATTATTCTGCTTAAATCAATAAGCGTAGATGTACATTAAATGTAAAATAAAAAATAAATTATCAACAAGTATAATGTTAAAAATTTAAATGTTGAAAAAAATATATGAATAAACAATATCTCCCTCATGACACCAACAATATATAAAAAATAAATTACATAAGAATAAACAAAAAATAGGGATCCCCAATTTAATTTAAATATTAGCTTGAGGTAATCTAAATGTTTATCAAAAACCACAATATATAGTATATATTATACACAATGATTTATGGTAAAAATATTTTATAAAGCAATAATTTTATTTAACTCACAAATTAGTTTCAGCCCTAAGTTGAGAGAAACATTTAGATATAGAAAATAATAATGATATATTGATAAAACACAGTCAACGTATTTATGTTCCTTTAAGTTGCTAATCTCAAGATTAAATTCTTGATACACAAGCTAATTTGTTTTATCATTAAAAAAATTAAATATTTTTATAAGTTTATAACAATGTTGATTCATATTTTTTAAATAAATAAAGCAAATAAAAACTTACATAGTATGATGGTGGTGGAACATAAGCCATTTGTGGTCGGTTGGGATCAAAGTATGCACTTTGTGCTGCTTCTGCTGCTTTTGCATCTGTAAATATTATGTATCTGTTACTTTAAGATTTATACATTTTTTAAAATACAATTATTTTAATTATTAATTATAATATTACCATTTTATAGCCAGATTTTTTTTGGAATTTTAAATTTAAATTAAAACATACATATTAATTACAGTAACTACAATGTTCAACAGTCTGAAGTACTACAATAAATTTGAATAGCTCTATAGTATTAAATAGATAATAAAAAAATTTAAACATATCATTACTTTTTTTTTTTTATTACATAAATATCAAGTATAATATGCTCTTTTTAAGTCAAATGTTGATTAATTTAACTTTTTCTTCACTAACTTGTTCAATTATTTTTGGTATTATCTATGAAAAAATTAAATACTACTGGTAAATAATCAAACTTTAAAAACAATTGATTAATGTAATCCTGCAAATTGTAAGTAGAATCACATTAAATTTTACATTGAAATATTGTGATGATGATAATGACTAATGAGGTAATTAACAAACTAACTTATATAACAACTATTAAATAGTGATACAAGTCATTTATGCATAGTATAATAGTATATATTATGATCTTGAAAGTTTTATACTAATATTTTATATGCACACTTCTTTTCATCAAAAAGTATAAAAAGTTAAAGAAAATTTTTGGTAACCGATATACAAATATAATAAATAAAAACCAAAAACTATTAATACCTTGTCCATTAAAAAGTTGTGGAGGAGGAGCTGTTTGTGCAGGTGGAGCGCTTGCATAACCTGGATTGCCAGTGAAACCAATAATGCCTGGATATGGTGGAGGCATATCGGTTATATACACAGATTGAGCTAAAAAAATAAATAAATAATGAACTATCTTCTTTAATGATAAATAATATTTGTCATATAAAAAATATACAGGTAAACAAAAGATTTGTGTTATAAATAAATATTACTAAAAATCATTGAGCAAAATATATATTTACGAGGTGGTGCATCTGGAAAAGCTGCAGTTGAAGGCATCCATCCATAGTAGCCAGGAGGAGGTACACCATATGGAACATCAGCCATATAGTATGGACCTTCAGGTGGTGCATAGGGTGGTGGATTATCCATTTGAGGATAGTTACTATTAGCTAAAAAAAAATGAATTGATTTGTATTGAATATAGATCTGAGTACAATTATTATATTAAATAAAAAAAAAAAACATACCCATTGATGCAGCTCTTAACATAGCTCTTCCAAAATCAATAGCACCTCCTTTCTTAAATATCAATTTGAATTTTGCTTCACCAACCCAATTTCCATTAGGTTGAGCACGTACTTTACCTTTTATATAATTTGAACCAAATACTGGTTGTTCTAATTCCACCTTATTTTTATAATAATCACAAAATTATATAATGTAAAAACATTTATAAGGTATTTAAATTTTAAAAAAAACACTTACGTCTTTAAGAGTAACAAAAGGCATACTAAATGATAAAAGCTCATCTTTGTCAGATTTGTTGATGAAAATCAAACGATGAGTAGTTAAAAACAGTTTTCCCACTTTTGAACCATGAAATGCTCTACCATCCTGACCGTGAAAGTCAATCGTAACAGCATCAGTAAACAAAATAATGCTAAAAATAAACAAAATTATAGATAAGTACATTTATTTTACTTGTCAAAAATACCTAAGTAAATAAAAAAAATTTAAACAACTATTGAGATTATTATTATAAATTCTATATCCTACCTATACATTAATAATCTAAAAAAGCATTTTCATTTTAAATACAGAACACTTACTAGAGGGTAAACCACTAGTAGATAACTATTTAATACAGCAGTTTTTCGGTTTCCGAGGATTTTCAGACTTCTAAAGATATATATTGATTAACACTAGCAGAATAGTCTTACTGAATAATAAGCATAACTTTGATTTAAAAAAACTTTTAATTTAATAATTCAATTTTTATTTGAGTTAGTTAAGTTTCAAATGTTTAACAGATAAGTGGATTGAAAAAAAAAATGAATTTAAAAACTATCTGAAACATGACTTATAATCACAGATAAAATAAAATTCAAAAAGTTTTGCAATTTTATTTTTTTTATTGTGAGTAAAATGCAATTACAATAATTTACTAAGGGATAAATCAAACATAAATAAGTATAACTAATAAAAATTCCCATAAATACAGCATTTATTATAAAAATAAATGCATAATGTTTTTATTGGATAAACAAATTATACCTATTACTATAAATTTTAAACTTAATTACAACAATTAAGTATAAAAAACATGATTATCCATTTCAATAACTTGATGATAAAAGTAAAATGAGAAAATACACTAGAAAATAATTGTTATTCAATTTCATTAGGTACATAATCCTATAAAATGATTGCCGCCCATAGAATATTCTAGAACATTCTAGACTATTGCAAACAATGGTGAAATATATACAACTACCTATATAGTTATAAAAATCAATTTTGGTTTCTATCCAAGTGCCCTGAGAGTGAGAAAATATAAAAAACAAATAATTCATTAGTTTGTTGTCTAATATTAAAATATCAACACAATTATTTTTTTTTTTTTATAATTACCTTTAATATAGTAAGTAAATACAGAGACAAATATCTGAGACTAAAGATACACAATCAATAAAATATATAAAACACATATGTAATATTATAATATAATACAATAGTGGAGATCCTCTCGTAAAATCGACATCATAACCATTACTCTAACATTTTGGATGGAGTCCAAATTAAAAATCTATTCTAAATGTTCTAATAGAGGACTACTGATAAATAATAGGTACTATATACTAAAACCCACGTCATATAGAAATACGAATGGCGTTCACAACCGAATTTCATTCGAGAATAAACCCCTAGTAAGATAAGGAAATATTAATTATAAATAAGTTCGTCCGAAAGACGAAAAAATAAGATAGAAAACTGGAACGCGGACTGTAATGCAATTAGCTGCATCTGCAACGATTTCTGCACCTAGTGCATCGGTACTTGGTACTTAGTAGTACCAATGATTATAGAATATATTCTATAATCAATGGTAGTACTATCTATATAATAATAATAATCTGTAGGTGGTATTAAACGGATGTCACGGGGTACACATAATTATTAATATGACTCACCATTCACCAGCATGTATTAGGCAACCACCGCCTTGAACGTGAGCAGTGTTCAACGACATGATCGTCGTCGGTAGTCTTGTCCAGCCAGAAATCCAGATGGGATAGGAAGAAAAATTCAATACGACAACGGATGTATATGAAACCGTGTCAGTGGAGGCGTAGAGAAAATGCTCGGCCGATTACGTCACACGGAGCAAGCTAATACGCAAACGCAAAACGACAACGACACGATTTGGTATCACACTGACGAAGTGACAAGCAATAATTAATAATAAAAACCACACGCGCTAGGTTATTACTACTAATCACGACGTAATATTATCTCACGTTGGCAAGTGCCTGAGCGTGCGCGCGCGACAGTGTACGTGTGAGAGCCCGAATGTTTTCTTATAATCGCGAATTTTCTTTAAAAATCTTACCACTTAACACACCCGACGTGATAACGGCGTTAATATGAATAACGCGATAAGTAAGCTTGTTTTTGAACGTCGAGAAGAATGCTACCGACGACGGCGATGTACAACAATGTCAAACAATTTTCACTTAAAAAGTATAAAATATAGAAGAAACTCTCACGTTTAAGACGGAGGAAGATGATCTGTCGGTATTTCGGTAAAGATACGATTCTTGGATGAGCCGCGGGACGGGGTTGTTCGACAGGCAATAATAACTACAGAATACAGATACGAATGACGCACGGCACCAATACAACAAATTACGACTGCACTTGCGTCTGCAGTAAACAGCTGCTGTCGTGATTAGAGAGCAGAGATTAGACATTCTTGGCGAATATTCAAGGTTACGCTGTGCCACAGTGTCGCCAAGCTCGAAATTTCCGCTCGACATAACATGGCCGTATATTTTCAAAATTTCAAACCGCGTTCCTGCTTACAATAGAAATACTCAAATACCTAATACTTATCGAGTTAGTGAACAATACATTATTATGTCTATAGTGAAAAATTTGGTTGCATGAAAAAGTAAATTGAAAATTCATAGTCATCACTCATAATTCACAGTAAAAATAATCGAAGTACATGAGGATGTGATATTGCGTTGTAAATAAATTAATAGTAGATAATACAATTACGAAGAGTTATTAATTGTTTTATAGATAAAAATTAAAAATACTCACCTCTTTTGGCTTTTAAGGATAAATAGCCTAAGTATATCGAATATCGATGTTATATTGAGCTCAGGGCTTGCAAACGTTATAATAACGTTATGATTTTAAATTATAATATTACATTTAACAAAAAACGAATGAGATTTGTTACGTAATTATAACGGAAAACAATAAATATAAATAATTAAATAATACAAAACAAAACATAACGATTAACAAAATATATGATGTATCATGAAACAAAACATAATGCAAAACGTTAAATATATAGTAGGTATATCATTAAATGAAATAATTAATTTCCAATTATTTAATAGTTATAATTTATAAAACATATTACAAATTTTAATTCTGAATAACGATAAACTTAAAAATTTTTTAAACACTTAAATTATAAATAACGTAAAACAATTTTTTTTTTTCAAATGCAAGCCCTGATTGGGCTATACAAGTGTGCTACTTGTAAAGTCTCTAAATATAGGAAAACAAAAATAAATATAATAAAAATAATTTATAGAAAAATATATTTAAATTACATTAATATTAATATCTACTTAATTTAAATATTACAAATAAGTTATAACTATATATTTTTTACATATTAATATTATGCAATATTGTGCAACCAAACTCAAAAACATACGATTGAATTAAACACACAGTCAATAATCCTAAACATAATGTGAAATGTGTAGATACTGGGTAATGTGATTACATGGATTCGTATTTCAATTAAAAAAAATAAGTATAAGTGTATAACCAGAAAAAAAATAATTGAACAAATATTTAGTAACAAAAAAAAGGTAGATAAGAATATAAATAATACAGAGATGCACGTATCGTTTTATATCTACTATTAATAATACCAATTATAACTATCCTTAATATAGCTAATAAATAATAATGGTATGTCTGTAAATGTAATATTATTTAAAATATAAATTTCTTTAAAAATTAAATCCAAATAATAGCACATAATACTATATTATTTTATCTTACTATTGCTAAACAATTTTCAATTTTAATTTATTAATTGTTGGTTTTTATTTTTAAGTAAACACCATAGATTAACTAAAATAGTTTGATCGTACATTTGTATTTTTACTTGACTTTGACTTATTAGTAATTAGATGGATACCATTGCATTTTTCTTGTATTTCGTCTTTACAACAAGGTAGTTATTTTAAATGAAACCTATTGTTCTAAGCGTTCTTTTTAGTTTATAATTTTATATTATGTATTAATATACATTGTTTATGAATACCATTTTATATGTACTCTGTTATAATTGACTATTGAACAATTATAATCAGGGGTGTCAATGTATTTTGAAACACCTATGACAATTTTATTTTGAATCAATATACACCCACCCACCCTGCACTAACAAAAATATTCCTTTTCAAAAAAATATTTAAAACAGCGATTTCTTAACTGTGCATAATAAACATATTCGAGAAAGGGGCCTGACTACATATATAATATATATATTAATATACTATATACCACTTAAAGATTTAATATTTTAAATATTTAATGAAACCTAAACATATTACTTTTTTAAATCAAGGCTTACATGTTGCGTAAATGTTAATAACTTTTCATTCCCTATAGGCCATGAACCATAATCACCAAACATTGACGCCAAAGTTGATGATATAATTTAATCACTATATATTTTATAATAAAATATAAATATTAAATACAGTAGTGTACTAATGTGTACTGTGTAGTACGTATTAGACATTAGTATATAGCATAGCGTAATGACTAATGAATAACTGATGAGTTACCTAGTACTTAGCCAGTACCTGGATACATTTTACTTATAACTTAATGTAGTAAAACGCATAGACACTAGACAGTAACACTGAGGTCTTTATTTTCCTTCACATTATACCCACCCAGCGTCCCAGCATCCCACCCATTTATTCATATTTGCAGCTTATAATAAATGTCAGGCAATACCAACTTTCGGCGCTTCTAATTATAATTATAATATTTTGTAGATTGCATGTAAAATCTCAAAACCGCAATATAAATATTAGTGTATGTTTCTATACGGTTAAAATTTTTCATCTATTAACCTTGAAACATATTTACAAAGGTAAATACATAGGTATTTTACAATAAGCAATTTAAAATTATATACAACGACAGTACCTAACATTTATTTGGTACCACACTACAATGCCCTTAATTTTCGGCTGATTTTGTTAGGAAGTCCCTAGTTCCTACAGACTAACAAAACTTTTAGAACTCGTGCTATAACAAAATAAACATAACAAGTCCAAGCGGTTTTATTGCTGCAATCATGTGTGATTATAATTTATAACCAAGGTATACATCGCGTATAAGTGCATGCCCCGACTGAAGTAACTGCGTAGCAGCATCAACATCGATACGAATACACGATCCTGATTCCTGAGTCCTGACCTAACTGTTCATTTTCAGGTTACACGGGAATACGAGATAGCTACATATACGTACACATCACAACTACATCAATATCAATATCATGTATTATGTAAACGTCATTACATGTATGTATATTTTATACATTTACGACATAACTTGTCGCCCTGCAAACGGTTTTCATTGACGACCGTAACCCACTCATCGATCGCGTCTCTCCTTTTTAACACGCCCCCGACTCCGCAGCTGCCACACGCGGCTCATGTCGAGGAGGCAGATGCAAGTCACACGCGCGCATGACGCCTGCGCCGACACACATACTCAAGCCAGAGTCGTACTTACTCGAGTTTACTTACAAGTTTCACGTGCGCGTGTATGCGTGCAGCAATATAGTTGGATTATTAATACGCAAGTCTGAATGGTGTGCGAATATTATAGATATAACGGTGGCGCACCGTACATCACAGCTGAACAACAACAACAACAAAAATAATGCGCGCGCTGTTTCGAGTTTTTGATAATACATTATAATTTTAATAATAACTATATAGCAGTGTATGTGTACAATATTGTGTATCGATATAATATAATATAGCGTGCGAAATTTTGTACAACAGCAATCACACACATATACATATATAGGTAGGTTTAAAAGATATTCGGCGTAAATAGTACTTCACAGTGCGGTGATTTTCGTTACTGTAGTTCGTCGTGATGGATGAGAACCTGAGCAGGGGCTACGTAGCCCTGGGCAAACGCGGAAACATTTGTCCACTGGCTACGCCTCCAGTAGACAACATGGGCAAGACTTACATGGCTATGGTGCTGGCGGGCGCCGGTTTTCTGTTTCCATACAACAGGTAACCTTTCATAATATAGTATATATAATACGTATAAGGTATACTTATTTTATGTGTGTGTACATATTATGTACATAATACAGTTTGCAGAGGATGACATTTTTCCTAATTTTGAGGGGAAGGTAAAGAATAATTTAGAAAACTTACCTAGCTAATTAAAAAACAAATCATTTTATAAAAATTTAAGTAATAACCAATTATTATATTATAGTATTGTGATCCATAGTATGATATAGGTATAACTATTTATGTTTTATTTAGCATCCTATGCAAAGACGGATCCGGGGGAAGAAAGGGTCAAAGCTTTCTTCCAGAGTTTATGCCTCACATCACACATACATAATTTCCTGTTTTTTTAAATAAATATTTAATTTAATAATTTGACTATATAGCCATCTAGATAATTAAATACATTTAAAAAATATGCAGATTACCTGCATGTGAGTATAGCTAATAATTGAACAATCAAGAAAAGTTTTCTATTTTTAAACGAATAAAAACTCTACTTCGTTCCAGAATGAAAAAAGATCAACTAACTTCGTCGTGTAATATGTTTAATGAGTATTGATGGAGTAAAACAAATTTACCTATTAATAAATTTAAAATTAAAACATTTTTTGTGGTAACTCGCATGTTTTTTTTTTTTTTTTGATATTTAATTTTTTAAACGAACTACAGTAATTATTAAATATGTGAAATACCTACTAAAATATTACAATTTAAAAATACTAATAACTCATTTAAAAACTAAAATATCGTAAAAAACTGAAATGACAAAATCACAAATATTTTATTCTTACCTTTAAATTTTATTACATAAAAAATTAACAAATTTTATATCTACATTATACATTTTGAGACAACACATGAGTATATAGTGTCATATTATTATATTAATTCCTAACATTATTTCGCATATACCTAATATATATTTATATCATTAACAGTGTTTTTATAATAATGTAAACCATATAATATGTCAAACATAAAACTTTTACAAATTTGATTCACAAACGTTTTTTCAAATGAATAAAGTTGTATATATATATGAATTACAAAGTCAACTTAACCTTATTATTTTATTTTTTTTTTTTTAACTTGTAGTTTTGTCATGGCTGTGGATTATTTTCAAACCAAATATCCTGTTTCGATGGTAGTTTTTGACATGACGATCGTGTACATTATGGTAGCGTTTGTCGCTGTCCTCACCAACAATTTACTAGTCGAAACACTATCTTTCACGTGTCGCATCAATATCGGTACACATAACACCAAGAGACTATTTCCGTACACCATATCTGATTTCAATAGTACATTTGTGTTTGGATATTTATATTTTATAATATTTGTACAGGTTATGGACTGACAATTTCGATGCTATTGTTTGTGGGTGCCGTGGAAATTTTATGGGATGAATTATTCACGCTGGATACGTCATATTGCCTCAACTTGGTAGCTATTGGACTCATTGCATGGGGTGCAACAAGTAAACGAATTTTCAAAAAAAAAATCGATTTAAACAAATTGTATACCTGTATGTACATATACATATTTTAATTTGACAGTCCAGCAATCCAGTTTTTATGGCTACACCAGTATACTACCTATAAAATATACACAGGCCGTCATGATCGGAGAAAGTTCGTATTATATAGTATATATACTACGGTAAAAATAAAAAAATATAGAAAATATTAAAAGAATACTAATAACATATCTAATAGCATTTGATGTTAGCATAATTATAATTTTATTATACTTCTAGATTATTTTTTATATAGTGACATAGTTCAAATATTTATTTGAGTAAAAATAATAGGTAATATTGGAGCCTTATATCCCGAATTCAAATTTTCGACTTCAATCCAAACTAGAAAATTAGTAACCAAATTTTAACCGCAAAATCAGAATTTGTAACCTAAAGATTTTTCCAGTCTTCGATCAAAAGTAATATGTTACTTAGATATATTACGCAATAAATTAGAAAACAAAAATTTTGAAAAAGATTTATTAGAGACTGATGATGTGGTAAATAATTTTGATTTATTGAGTTCATTTAAAGAATGAATTAAATCTATTTTTATTAAACGTAAGCCTCAAATTATTGGTATCCAAAGAAAACTTAACCATACACAGTAAATTTCTGAAATAATTTAGTGGTAAACTCTATGAAATTTTTCCCTTGCTGGTCCCCATTATGGTCGGAACATTTGGTTATGATTAAAAAAGCCACATCAAGCAGCAGAAATTAATGTAATTTTAACTTAAAACAAAGAATATTTAATAATAGCGCATAATGCCAATCAAAGTTGATAATTTTGTTGAAAAATTAGTTAATTATTATAGAGGTATCAACAAAATATGTTTTCAACAATAATTTATAATGAAACTTCAAATACAAACGATGTAATTGAAACCAATGTAGTTTCATGAGTTGGCGTAGATACATATTATAGTGAAGAAGAATTTGGACTGACTAAAAAGTTTTCTGTGTAATTATATAATTAAATTACACAAAAAAGAAACTGCAGTTAAAAGTCTAAATTTTGTAATCGAGATGCTCAACTGAGTGTTCTTTATAGGAAAACATTTATCTAGGGGTTAAATCTTATGTTACAAATTCTGATTTTACTGTCACAAATTATTACAAATTGGTTACTAATCAAAAAAAAAAAAATTACAACATTTCACTTTTGAGGTGCCAGATTGACTAGTCGATAATAATGATTAATGATTACTATAATGATTAATTTCAAGGTGCTGCTGGACTTTGGGTGTCCATTAATAGAATATTCACGAAAATGTTAACAAAAGACTTACGGATAAGCACGTTCAGTTTCTTCGTGATAAGCCATCTGGTAGTTATGACGTCGTGCGTGCTATTCCAAATCGTACAATCATCTGATTTCGTCAAATTTTACATTGCCCGAAGTGAAGACTCGAAGAAAAAGATTTCATTGGAACCAACAGAAGAATATGTAAGATAATAATGAGTTTATGTTACATACATGCATCAATCTAAAATAAAATACAATTAGTTATTATTTCAATAGTATATATTATGCATTTACGCATATCATAGAAGTTATTAGGTTATAAAACTGGATTTAGTGACTGTTGTAATTTTAAGTTCAATTTAGAAAATGGTTATAATGAGTCCAATATACTATAAATAATAATCAAAAAACAAAAATTTATAAAAATTACTAATTTAAATATATGTCAATATATCATTAATTATTACTTGAGAATATTTTACTTATGATTCTTAAATATCCATTTATAATTATTGTGTTTAAACTTCAAGTATAAATAATAATGAAAAATGTCTTATCTTAAATTGTGATGGATAATTGAAGCAGTTGAAGGCTCATCAAATTAAAGAGAGATACAATATCATAACTTTATGTTCCTACTTCTTAAAAAGGGGCGCTTTAAAAGGGAGTGAAGGTGACAGACCTTAGACCATACCTAATAGATAATTTTTTTAAATTCTTAGTTTTTATAGTTTATTTTTTTTATAATTGTATATGTAAAATACATAGGTACATTTTGATAATCCAATTTGAATATTTTATTGTTGTATATGTATAGATTGATTCCGAACAATCTCAACCAGAACCATTTGCTGAAACTAGTTTAAGTACGGGAAAAATATTTAAAGACGAAAATGCATTTAGCTTTGCAAATCCAATGTATGATCCAAACGCAAATAGTGTACCAACGTATAAAGTTGAAGACGTCATGGTACACGTGGAAACAGGAAGTTCTTTTAAGCTACGAAAATCTACCCTATCTGAATTTTGGAGTTCATTTAAGAGTAAGTAAAGATCAACAATGTAATGATCCAATGAACTTTATATTTTTTTTTGTTACATAATTGTGTATATTATCGGCTATAGAATGTTATGTAATAATTTTAAATTAACATAGAACTACATTCTTCAACATGAAATATTGATCTCTACAAAGAATTTTGAAAAATAAAAATAATTTTTATTACATATTATATTATATAAGTATACAATATACATATTATATATTATCAAATTTATAACTTCGATATTAATAATAGGTGGATATAAACTAAGAGAAGAAGTGTCGAAGATCATTTGGAAACAAATGTTGGCGATTTTTTTATGCTACTTTGTGACGTTGAGCATTTATCCGGGAGTACTTTCCGACCTAGTCAGCCCAAGATTCGGCACGTGGATGCCCGTACTCGTGATGACCGTATTTAACTTATTCGATCTTATGGGAAAGGTAAGTGGAACGTACAATAATTTTGTACATAAACTTTGTTGAAGTTATATACCTCGAAATAATGTAATATTAAAGTGTTCAAAAAACACATTCCTAAACTTAACCTTTAAACGGATCGTATCTGTTTTGACTGTCTAATTTATACTTATATAGCTATACTTAATTTAACAACGATATGATCAACTAGATATAACTTACAATAAATATAATAATAATAATAATAAAAAATCTTTTATACCTATACGTATATGTCCTTTACTCCTATATGTATCCTATAGTTATTGGGAGCGTATTCTTACGAACGTTGGGATGACAAAATATTGAAGAGCACCAAAAAGCGTCTGTTCATGATTCCCGCCATTCTACTAATCGTTATAGTTCAACATCCATTCCACACGAAAATCATCAGTGAATTCATGATTATTTTGCAAACGGCCGTGCTCGGCGTAACCAACGGCATCACCGGCAGCGTCCCAATGATTTTCGCACCGGCTAAAGTCGTTGAAGAACGACGAGAACTTGCAGGTAAATATAAAATAACATTGAGTTTCATAGATACCTACTTATAAAAAAATTATAAAGATATAGGCATCATTGGCGTAACCAAAAGGGAATCAGATAGTGTGGAAGGGTAACTCGAATTGAGTCCTACAAATACTTTTGGGTTATCAAAGTTGAGTCCGACCAATATTGTTACTTGTTAGGTTGTTCGAGTTGAGCCCTTTCAGCCTATTAGTTAATGATTAATTAGTTGCTAGTAAAAATTTAAACGATATTGATTTTAAAAAGTCAAATTAGCAAATTTGCCTATTTATATATTTATTTGTCTGGTCTCGTAAAAATTGTTCCTTTTCTAATGTTTTTTACACGATTTCGATGCTGTGCTTTGTAATTTTATGCATGTATCTACTATCTAACTATATCACAAGAGTAAAAATATTTAGATGTCCCAAGTAAAAAAATGCATTTCATTTTGCGTGAAAACTTTTACAACTGTTAGTGGTCCGATTAGATCTTGTTGAAAATTAACTCTGATGTTTGGAGGGAGGGGGGATTTACGTGACCAAGTACCAAAATAAGAAATGTATGAACAAATTATAAATAAGTATTTGTCACTATTGTGTTCCGGACGTTTCAAAAGGATATATAAACAAAAAACAACAGCGATGTATCATTATTAAGTAGGTATTCGGTCCGGTCGATTTATCGTTGTTTTCACGCGCAGGTAACATAATGACGATATCGTACATAGCCGGCACGACGGCGGGCAGCATTTTCGCTTACGTGCTGGACAGGATCATACACTACGAGATCGGTTTCTCGGTCAGCTGGGCCGGCGCCGATTATCACAAGACGATGATGTCCGCCGGGGCCGCGACAATGAATACTGTCGACCCGTTCAACTTCAGCCACGTCACGGCCGACCCGGTCAACCACACAGGGTCGTCGCCGCTGCAGATGACGATCACAGTCGGCTCGCTGCTGCTGTCTGCCGCGCGCGGCGTCAATTCCACGACGACCGCGTTCCCGGGATAACCACTTCGACGGGTGACGGACACCGCGTGTACATTTGACACTGTAATACACCTATCCATGACACTGCGATATTGTTATCGTTATTTCATTTTTATTTTTAAATTATTAATGTTTTATTGTATTGTATGACTACGTTTGACACGGCTGGCGGGCGGTCGAAAAGTCGAGAAAGTGGCGTATGGCGGTTTTATAATAAATATAGGTAATGATATATAATATATGAATATAAAGTGCTGTGATAATATTGACGTCATCGTTCAGACCCAAAATGGCAAAAACCTCGAATGTTATTATTAACAGTTAATTAATAGATTAAGGGTTATATTGAGCAGCTGAAAAGGTATCGATATATTTGATATATAATTGTTGTTTTAAAATTTTTACACATTTTAAGGATATTGTGTGTGCGCGACTTTAAAATGTATAGGTACATGGTTAACTTACTAGGTAGGTACTTAATACTTTTGCAATAATGATGCAATATATACCTAACTACATAGGTACCTACTAACAAACATAATACAATATAGGTACCTACTGTCGTCAGTACACGATTAAAACAATTTTACAAAAAACTCACTTTGTAATACCTTTTTTTCCACTTGGTCCCTTCCGATCAATTTATATAATTAAATAATGTTAATAAAGTCATAATTTATTAAGATTTGAGATATTATATTAATAATTACATGAGTGGTGTTTTTGAATTTGAACTATAAAATTATAATGTATATAATTTTATGCGCAACATTTATTACGTTTTGGGTTGCGTGACTTTTCGATCGACCTACAGGCTACAGTGTTATAATACTTAATCGTATAAAAAACAGAATACATTTATACATCTATAATTAATATTTAAGCCATTTAATTTATGTCTACCTACAACAATTCATTGAAATAGGTACCTAGATAATATAAGTAATATAAGCTATCTAATACAGTAATATCTACCTATATGCTCACTTCATATTTCTGACACATATAAGTTAGGTACCTATATTACCTATAAGGTACCTATACAAAAAGCTAAAAGGTAATAGTAACATGCTACGTAGTACGTATTATCTATTACATAATGTAATGCCTCATTCCCTTAATTTATATTTAGATAGATACTATATTGTTGTGTACGTTTTTATTTATTTTTTTTTTTTGTTGAATAATAATTAATTTTTATAACAATAGATAAAATATTTTGTTTTTTTTTTTTAACGCCATTGCAGTCAAAAATCAAAATAGTTGCAAATTTGCTTTTATTTGCCTGGTTGTCTAATATGTAAACATTGTAAATACTGTATCAACGTTAAACTTATATGCTACGGTACGTATTAGAAAATAGCTCAAAATGTTTTTAAAAAATCGTAATAAATCTGTATTTAATTCATTAGGTACATTTATTTTCTAAACAAAATAATTATTCACAATATTATAACATAAATAATACATAATATATTTAATATATATATTTATGCGTGTGTATGTATATATATATTACTATATTAGGTATTTATAGATGCACTCAATTATTGTCATTGAATATATTAAATAGGTATTTATAAAATATTTGCGTTAATACTGAATAATACATGTTATACAACTTGGAGTTCTAGTATGATTTAAACTATGAATACATTATAAATGAAATAAAAAGATTTAGGCAATTAAAAATTATACTAATTTTATTCATATTATATAAACAGTATCTATTCTATCTTATAGTTATAGATAATATATTGATTATAGGAACTTTTTTTTATAAATTCATCAAATCAGTAACAGAATTGCATAATAAATCAAAATATAACTTGAATAATTAAATTAAGTACAATGAAAGTAAAATCATAAGTGCCTAAAACAAAATGTAGGTAAGTTAACAAAGATACACATAATTTATCGTTAAGAACTCATTATATACATAAAAATATGAACGTTTAACGATTTTGTGAATACAAATTCATAAACTATGCATTTCTTTAAAATATATTTCATAAATTAATAAAACTCACCAAATTATACTGATTATGAAAACAATTTAACTTTTAATTGAATTTGCGATATACTAGGTAGAAATTAAACTGGATCAAGAAATAGCATATGAGGTCTTATTTTTTTAAGTTTACTGTACAATTTTATTCTTATACTTAAACATCATTGTTTATCATGAAAATAAATATATTTACAATGAACATGCTTTTTTTATTAAACCTAATTCAAAAAAAAAAAAAAACCAACAGTTTAGTTAGCTCAATGTTCTGTTGAA